TGTGGAATAATTTATAGCCTTGTATGTGACATTCAGAGGGCATCTCTCTATTTTTCAGATTGAGCCAGGTCTCTGTTATAGCAATAATATCTATGTTTCCTGCACTTGCAATTAATCTTAGCTCATCTATCTTATTTCTTACACTCCTGCTATTAGTATAGTAAACCTTAAGGCAGCTAGTCCCTTGCTGCCCTCTGCTGTCCCCCTTTGTTTGCTGACCTGGTCTATTGTCTTTATTTATAACTTCATGCTGAATGCCTTTTATACATTTACTGTTTCCAACCCTAGTGTTGCAACCTGCTTGTTTCCCACACACACCCATACCTCTATCTTCTATCAGTTTAAAATCATAGGATTTCACCAATGGCCTTCTCAATTGAGTTTGCAAGTGCTACCACCCCAGCCCCAGAGAGATGTACCCCATCCCTTGCATACATATCATGTTTGCCATAAAAGTTGTTCCAGTTGTCATGGACCCAAAGAAACACGTTACATAGTATATAAAAACATGCAATGTTTATATGTGATGTATATTTAATAATAATCACTGGTACATTAAATGTCTTATTTTACATTAATATAGACATTTTCATTAATCCATCTATGATATCTTCAAAATTATACAAGAAACACGTTACATAGCACATAAACATGCAATGTTTATTATATGCGATGTATATTTAATAATGACTCTTTTGCACATTAAATGTCTTATTTTACATTAATATAGACATTTTCATTAATCCATCTACGACATCTTCAAAATTATATGAGAAACACGTTACATATCATGTAGCATATAAACATAGCATATAAACATAGCATAAAAACATGCAGTGTTCATATGTTATCAAGTGGAGAGTCTGATGGAGGGTAAACATTACGTTTTCTCTCATGCAGCGTTAGAGAAAACTGTGAACCTGGTAACTGGTGCAGCAACCACCCTTCATATGCGTCTGTTTACAATTCTCGGCATGAATTATTCATTACTTCTCCCTTTGTTTACAATGGCATCTAAAGGTAGTTGTTAGAAAAGATTAAACTTAGTGGCATTAACCTGTAAACAGTCCAAGCAGATCTACGTTCACATGTGTAGTGCTACAAAAGTAGATCTACGTTTTTTTTACATATTTTCAAATGTAACAAAAAAAAAAAGTAGATCAAAGTTTTTTACACATTTTCAAATGTAAAAAAACAAAAAGAAGATCTATTTTTTTTACATACTTTCAAATGTCGAAAAAACGTATATATACGTTTGGACCGTTTACGGGTTAAAAGACAAAGATGGGAAGTAACCCCAGAGAAGGCTTTGCTACCTAAACTCTTTATGGAGGGGGATTCCCCTTCCAAACACTAACTCCTCCCTCTTTCCTCTTCCTTATCTTCCAGAAGCCAGCATTAGCCTTGAATAAAGGTATGTAATACTTATATAATTGTTTAAAAAATTATTTTTTTGTGAATTTTTTGTCTGGAACAGATTAATTATATTTCCATTAATTCTTATGGGAAATATTAATTCCATTTTTGGCCATTTTGGTTATCAGCCGACATTCTGGAACGAATTACGGCCAATAACCGAGGGTCCACGGTATGTGCATTTTTTCGCTCTGGGACGCTTAAATATCACAGAATATTATGTGTGGGTGGGGTGGGTTGGCTGGCTACCATACATACCACACTTGATTTCTTACAATAAATAATACTCATCTCACCCTAGATTAAGACTACAAATATTTAAAGGTAAGTATTGAGTGTACTATATGTGTACTTTAATTTTTATTGCTTTTTAATGCCTAATTCTATTGCTAACTTAATACATATATGTTACTGTAAACTTGTTATCTAGTAATTATATGTATTTATAAGTGGAAAAAAAGGGTGTTCCACTTTATGGCAATTTCCGCTTTACGGCGGTACCCTGGAACCAAACTTGCCATGTAAGTGGGGCCCTACTTTATAAATACTATATGAAAATGCACCTCAGAGTTGGCGTTTTAATCCAAAAACGTGGTCAGAGTTTTTTTCTCAATATGCACTGCATGCTGCAGGATTTTATTTATACTGTGCACACTGACAACACAGACCCATTCTCTCACAAGTGGGCCTACCAGCTTTCTCCCGCTTGATCTGAAGCTGCTAGAATTTTGGCGTATTAATACGTCAGAAACACTGGCTCGTAAGATTTATATATACAACCAAAAGTATAAGGATCAACATTATTTCATAATTTACATATACAGTGGTACCTCGAGTTACGAACTTAATTCATTCCAGAAGGCTACTTGAGTGCCGATACTGAACGAATTTGCTCCCATAAGGAATAATGTAAATTAGATTAGTCTGTTTCAGACCCCCAAAAATACACTTACAAAAGCACTTACAAAAATACACTTACATAATTGTTCGAGTTGGGAGCTGTTCGAAACTTGAGGTACCACTGTACTCTGATAATTATACTTATGTGTACCTATACCTAAATAAACTTACACACTGTGCTGGCATGCAAGTACACATTAAAATCACTAAGAATGTCTTATTAGTCTCGAAAATGCCATATTAATAATGATAATAATAAAATGCAATAATAATAACTCTGAGGCGCATTAAATGTTGTATATTACATTAATATAGACATTTTCATTAATCCAAATATGATTTTTTTCAAAATTATATAATAAACACACTGTTTAACATATAAATATGATAAATACACCCGACAGTAGAATAAATTAGCATAAATATGGGATGTTTTTTCAGTCGTCTTGTCGGAGCATCAGAAAGAATAACGTTTTCTCTAGTTCAACAGCAAAGAATATGTGTGCGCAACAGTATTATTGGGGGCAACTGTAGAAAATTATTCCTTTCGTATGCCTTCACTGAGAGCATCATTCCTTCTATAGATGGTGTGTTACATGAGAATGGGAGTGTTGCTCTTTATATTTTCTACTGTATCAATGTGGAGACAACCTGTACAAAATGTAAGGCATTTGTATTATGGTATAAGCTTCACAAACATGGAAATAACATAAATGAACCATAATCAGATATGTTCATCTGCTTGTTTACATACTCCGCATCTCTGTCCTCTCTCATTTACTCATTCTCTCTCTTTCGTTTATTTGTTTTATCTCATTTACTCACCTCTCACCCTACACTATACCTACAAATATTTTAAGGTAAGTAATGAGTGTACTGTATATGCACTTTATCGCTCTAGGATGATTTAAATGTAGTATACGTATTATGTGGAGGTGGGATGGCCATACCTACAACACCTGACCTCCTACAATAAATACTACTCGAATCTCACCCTACAGTAAGACTACAAATATTTTAACCCTTTCAGGGTCGGTGTCTCACTTGTACGCGTAAATTCTAGCGCCTTCAAATTGAACGGAAGAAAGCTGGTAGGCCTACATATGAAAGAATGGGTCTGCATGGTCAGTGCGCACAGTATAAAAAGAAATCCTGCTGCACGCAGTACATGAGAAAAAAAAAAAAAACTCCGACCATGTTTTTGGTTTAAAACAGCAACTTTGCAGTGTATTTTTGTATGGTATTTATGGTTGTATTCTCGTTTTCTTGGTCTCAACTGATAGAATGGAAGATATATGACAGAAATAGGGATGATTTTGATTGGTTTCACAATGAAAAGTATCTTGAAACTGAGCTCAAAGTAGCATAAATGTTCAATTTTTGCCGATGTTCGTGAGTAAACAAATCACGCCACATGTCCAATACATGTCAACTGGTGAATCTAATATTCTTTCACAAGTGCGCTGATATTATTTATACCATTTTTACAATAATGCAGTAGTCTGCATATCAGTAAATCTTCTGTTTTTTGTGAGAATAAAAATTCAAAATGGAAAGCAAGAGTAATGTAAGAGGGGCCTGGAGACGTGACTATTGAATAGAAAAAATGTTATTTTAGTGCCAGGAATGCCTGTCTTGTTAATTCTGGACCCTATTTTGAAATTGACATCTTCTGAAATTTGTGTGAAATTGGCCAAATTGCCAATTTTTGACCACTTCATTGGGTAATTGAAATCAGTAAATGGGTAGTTTCTTGTACTCATTCGATAGAACAAATGGAGTTCTAACGAAATAGCTATGATTTTAATTGACTGGAACATTGGAATTGGCCAAAAATAAGGCTCAAATTGGGCGAAATTGCTGATGCATAAATATTGTCAACACCACTAACTTCGCGAGAGCATCATTCCATAAGTTTTCCTTCAAATTTCATACTTTCGGTGTCATTACCATTGGGAACAGATTCTCTATTATTTCATAAAATAATTTTTTTTTCTTTTTTAATTTTTCAACCCTGAGAACGAGTTCAGGATAGGGAGGGGTCTTGACCCTGAAAGGGTTAAGGAAAGTAATGAGTGTACTGTATATGCATTTTATTGCTCTAGGGAGCTTTAAATGTCATAGTATATTATGTGTGGGTGGGGTGGCACCTACCCCCCTATGTACTCACCACACATGACTTCCTACAATACACACTACTCATCTCTCCCACTACATTTAGATTATGAATATTTTAATTAAGGTAAGTAATGAGTGTACTGTGTGTGTGTGTGTGTGTGTGTGTGTGTGTGTGTGTGTGTGTGTGTGTGTGTGTGTGTGTGTGTGTGTGTACTCACCTATTTGTGGTTGCAGGGGTCGAGTCCTAGCTCCTGGCCCCGACGTGTGTGTGTGTGTGTGTGTGTGTGTGTGTGTGTGTGTGTGTGTGTGTGTGTGTGTGTGTGTGTGTGTGTGTGTGTGTGTGTGTGTGTGTGTGTGTGTATTTTAATTTATTGTTTTTTAAATGCCTAGTTCTACTGCTAACTTAATATATGTTAGCGTAAACTTGTTATCTGGCATTCATAAGTGGAAAGAAAAGGCATTCTGCTTTCTGGTGATGTCCGTTTTCTGGCAGTAGCCTGGAACCTAACTTGCCATATAAGTGGGGCCCTACTGTATATACTTTTCTTTTCTAGTTTGGTTTTCTCTTTCTTTGGCAGGTTTTGCCTAATTGATACATATGTCTTTATATTTTCAGCCATTATATCTCCATTATTTTTTTTTTTTTCGGGTGGGTAGGGGTGAAGAGAAAATGGTCAAGTTTAAAATGGCCATTATATTATGAGAAAACTTAGTCTGGAAGACTCAATGCAACAAACATTTCAGATTAAAGAAATGCAACTGTATTACTGCACCAAAACCTGTTTGACAGTAAATAGTAGAGAATAAAATTAAATAGGTGAAATCTGAAATTTATACTGACAAACATAAAAGAAAATTCAAGAGTTAAGCAGAGAACTAAGCCTGGAGCCAAGATATCACAGACCTTCTACCATATCATCCTCGACCTGGTAAACATGTCTGAACCAAATTACCCACCGGTTATACCTTTACCCTTGATATATCTTTGATCGGTTCATCAGATTTCTGGCCACATTTCTATCACAGCCTGGTTGATCTGGCACTTGGTGTGGGTTACTTGTCCAATATTCTCTTGAAAACCTCTAAATGTGTTCCAGCGGTATTTCTGATATCTTCTGGTAAAGTGGTAAAGTCTGAGACCATGAATGTTAATATGGTGTTCTCTTATTGTACCTACTCTGCCCATGCTTTTCAATGGACTCATTTTACATATTCTCCCCTATCTCTTACTCTAGTATGTTGTTAAGGAAGTATGTTGATTTAGGACTAGTCACTAAGATAAGATAAGATTTCGTTTGGATTTTTAACCCCGGAGGGTTAGCCACCCAGGATAACCCAAGAAAGTCAGTGCGTCATCGAGGACTGTCTAACTTATTTCCAGTGGGGTCCTTAATCTTGTCCCCCAGGATGCGACCCACACCAGTCGACTAACACCCAGGTACCTATTTGCTGCTAGGTGAACAGGACAACAGGTGCAAGGAAACGTGTCGAAATGTTTCCACCCGCCGGGAATCGAACCCGGGCCCACCGTGTGTGAAGCGGGAACTTTAGCCACCAGGCCAATGGGCCTTTCTGTGTACATATGATTAGGTATCTCTCCTCCACTCCAGCAAGTACACATTTAGGACTTATGGGCATTCCCAGTATTTAAATGTTTTATTAACTCTATGCAGACTGTAAATGACCTCTGTACCTATTCCAGCTCTGATATAAAAACATAAGAAAGAAGGAGAACTGCAGCAGGCCTGGTGGCCCATGCTAGGCAGGTCTGATATATCTCCTGTTATGAACAGAGAAGTCAATAGTAAACAACACTAAAGTGACAGAACACAAGAAATTTGAAGTGTCACCACCGGCACGATCTCCCTTGTTTTAAGAGCTCTCATTATCCACCTCCTCATTTTCCTGATTGGAACCCTAATCCAATTTTAATCAGATATCCTTAGAGTCAGACACATGATATTATGGTTTGCATTATTCCTTCCAGTCAACTAAATCAAAATTCACATTTTGGTATCTTGGTTCTTCAAGGTGGGTTCTCATGATGCTGGTGAAGTGCTCTTGATCCAAGGATATGTAATAATTTTGAAATTAATTCTTTCTTTCTTTCAACAAATCGGCTGTATCCCACTGAGGCAGGGTGGCCCAAAAAGAAAAACAAAAGTTTATCTTTGAAACTTTAGTAATATATACAGGAGAAGGGGTTACTAGCCCCTTGCTCCTGGCATTTTAGTCTCCTCTTACAACATGCATGGCTTATGGAGGAAGAATTCTGTTCCACTTCCCCATGAAGTTTTGAAATGAATACAGACTAATTGGAGCTACCCTTCCTCGCCTTGAATCAAAGCTATTATCTCCCATTCCCTAGGTGATATGACCTTTATGGGTGAACTGATTCCCATAAAGAAAAGAATATTATAGTAATAATAACATGAGGTCTGGTCCTATGTTTCAGTTCCTGCATCACATTTAAACTTGAATGTGTTACATTCAACTCACAGTAAATTTCACATTGACAGGACTAGAGTTGATAACATTATCCCTGCTACTGTATACCTATTATCAGGCTCATTTGGGTTTATTTACAAAGAACTAGAAGAGTTTGGTTGGTCAGAGCTTTAAATGTATTCTGTATCTAGCATTAACAAATTAACTATCAAAATCAATGTGCTACAACAATAACCAATTCACTAGCATATTACATAAATCATAACATAAAAAGTACAATTACAGTGGACCCCCGCATAACGATTACCTCCGAATGCGACCAATTATGTAAGTGTATTTATGTAAGTGCGCTTGTACTTGTATGTTTGGGGGTCTGAAATGGACTAATCTACTTCACAATATTCCTTATGGGAATAAATTCGGTCAGTACTGGCACCTGAACATACTTATGGAATGAAAAAATATCGTTAACCGGGGGTCCACTGTATTCAAAATCTATTTTTCACATTACACAAACCATAATTCATTCCATGTCATTGGCAGTGTCAGCAAATTAGGATGAAAGGGAAATTCTTTCTTTCAACGCACTGGCCGTATCCCACCAAAGCAAAGTGGCCAAAAAGAAAAATGAAAGTTTCTCTTTTTAAACTCAGTAATGTATACAGGAGAAGGGGCTACAAGCCCCTTGCTCCTGGCATTTTAGTTGCCTCTTATAATACGCATGAAAAGGAGAATATCCCTACCATTTATTTCAAGAGAGATTCAGGGTTATCAATCTGGTAAGGACCATATGATGATTTACTTATTTATTTCATGGAGGGGGAGCAATCAACCCATAGAGGCCAAGCAGTGCCTTGGGAAATGGGAGGCAATCAGATTTTATTCAAGGAAAGGGAGTAAGCTCCAATTCTTTAAATAACAAAAAGGAACAATACACAAATAACTCACACATAGGAGAGAGGGGTTTACGACGACATTTCGGTCGAAATCAGACCGAAAGTTGACCAAAATATCATCATAAGCTCCTCTCTCCTATGTCCAATTCTTTAAATCAAGATTCCTTCACTGGCATCAAGGCACTTTCCTCAAAGGAAACCCATGGTGAGAGTGGCACTCCTCCCAGAGAAAAAGTCTCTTAGCCCTTGCACCAACCACTAAAATCCAACCATCACATTAATGCGGCCCAGCATTGGAAGGGCTATTGCCTGGTAAGAAAAAAAACTTATACTAATCAGACTACATATGCCCTAGCACTGAAGACGGTTGCCTTGATACAGATGAAGGACTCTTGATCTAAAGTTATTAATCTACCACTCCTTTCTCTGATTAAAGATAATTACTTCCCATTCCCCAGGCACTGTATGATTCCCATGGGTTTAGTACTTAACCATGAATATAATAATATACAAGCAATGTGACAAAAAGTTGATCCAGGTCATAACTAAGTCATTTAAGTTAAGAATTATAACTTCGCTCCAAGTTCAGAGTCATTATATTACTCTTGAATTTTTGTAAGTATAATTAGGTTTGCTTTTTTTTTTTTATCACATGAACTACTTCTGAAAGTAGGGCAACCAAAAGAATGAAACATATTCACAAGCAATCTTCACACAGCTGCCTTGCCAAACACACAGGGACATTTCAACTCAAATTATTATTGGTTTAGAAATACACATGAACGAACATTAGGACATATTTAATAGAAAACGTTTTGATCCTGGGACCTTGATCACTTTGAACGTACAGAGGTTAAAGAGGCGGAGAGTGAGGTGCGAGTGACACATGATGACCTGAAGAATGCCATATTAGGATGAGAACAGACAGACAATGGGATCTTGTGACTTTTGTGTTGTTAGGTACATGGTGCTTTGCCTGGTTGAGTATCACATATGCTAATGTTTCTGAAATTTTGTAGTTTCCAGTATTATGTTCTCTGGTACACAAATAACTCAAACATAGAAGAAAGAAGCTTATCAGTCCATCTTGGGCTGAAATATCTGTCAGGGTTATTTGTGTATTGTTCCAGTCATGGTTTGTGCCTTTTTGTTCTTTATGTTCTCTAGTGTCAATGACAGTGATTAATGAGGCTTCTAAGATCTTGTTCTGTGAGGATGAGCTGTGCCTCATCCCAATTCATCAAATGTCCCATGAAGGACAAGTGTACCTTAAGTTGTCTGCGTTGTCTGAATTTCAATGTTCATTGAGGCGCACTGAAAGATTGCTGTCTGCTTTCCCTACATATTTCTTGGGAGAGTATCCGCATGGGATGGTCCACCTCAACAAACTTCAAAGCACCAGCAACAGAGACCACGTAAGATATACCCGTGTCCTCCACGGGACATTTGATGAATTGGGATGAGGCGCAGCGTGTCCTCACAGAACAGGATTAGATGCCAACAATGTCTGGAACACTCACTAATCACCGTCACTGACACCACAGAACATAATACTGGAAATTTCAAAAAAAAATCTGCATACACGATATTTAACCAGTAAACGGTCCAAGCAGATCTACATTCATATGCATAGTGCTCCAAAAGTATATCTACTTTTTTTTTTACATATTTTCAAATATAACAAAAAAAAAAGTAGATCAAAGTTTTTTTTTACACGTTTTCAAATGTAAAACAAAAAAGATGATCTACTTTTTTTACATACTTCCAAATGTTGAAAAAACGTATATATACGTTTGGACCGTTTGTGGGTTAACTAGGCAAAGCACCACCTACCTAACAACATATGAGTCACGTGATCCCATTGTCTACCTGTCCTCATCCCAATATGACATTCTTCAGGTCACCATGTGTCACTCGCACCTCACTCTCCATCTACATATACATGTACTGTACTGCCTTTTTGGCCTCTGTATGTTAGAAATGATCAAGGTCCCATGACTGAAACGTTTTCTAATAAATATGTCCTAGTGTTTGCTCACGTCTTTCTAAACCAATTTATCGATATCTATTACCAAGGTTTATATCAGATTATGTATGATAATCTATGAAATTACTTGGTTCCAGGCTGGGGTCACTACATTACTCTCAAGCTTTATTAATAATAATTATGCATAAGGTATATATCTAGAAACCAAAGGGATAACTGCACACAATTTTCTGTAAAAACTTGTTTACTCTGATACAAGGGTATCAACTGCAATGCAAGCCAATAGACATGCTTGCAAAAAAAAAAAAAAAAAAAATCCATCCAATATGCTCTGTTATCTATTTCAATACTAGCATTTAAGTGTTTTTGCTATTGTGCTTTAAGAAACAATATAGAGAGAATAATACAATGTACCTCTTGTTTTCTTCTTTTTCTTGTCCTCTTCGAAGTTCTTGTTTCAAAGATGTGTAACTTTTTGCTGTCTTGTTTAGCAATGGGCTTGTATTACACACACATATACATAAATAACGTACATTTCAAGGCAGCAATCTAAAACATCTTCTTCTTAACGGCAGTGTACCTCTCCATGTACTGCAATAAACAAAAAACAAATTACTTTTATGTCCTGTTAAATACAAGTGCAGTACATACACATGCAATTTTCCTTTACATTTCCCTCATTACTAGATAACTCTTTGTAGAATGAAAATTAGGAAACCACTTGGACAGAAAAATGAAGTACCAGTAAAATGAGATCTGTATGTTTAACCCTTTGAGGGCCCAAGCCATGGTTGTACGCCTTGCCCACAGGTTCCAAGAATTTAAAAAAAAAAATTGTTTTTTTTTATGAAATGGTTGAGAATCTATTTCTGAAGGTAATAAAACAAAAAGTGTGAAATTTGATGGAAAATTTACCAAATTACACTATCACGAATTTTTCTATGTCAGCAACATTTACGAATCAGTGATTTTGCCCAGTTTTACTCCTATTTTAGGCCAATTACATTATGCCAGTTGACCAAATTCTTAGCTATTTCACTAATATTACTTCTATTTTATCGACTGAGCATAAGAAACTGCCCAATCAACTATTTTAACTACCCAATAAAGTGATCAGAAACTGGTAATTTGGCCAATTCACACAAAATTCAAAATATTCGAATTTCAAAATAAGAGTCTAGAATAAACAATGCACACATTCCTGGCACTACAATAACATTTCCTATGTTTATTAGTTATGTTTCCAGGCTTTACAGATGAATTCCATTTTTATTTTTTATTCACACCAAAAAATAGAAGATTTACTGTTATGCAATATTGTAATAATTGTATAAATATCAGCACATTTGTGAACATACATTAGACCCACCAGTTGATGTGTATTGGACACGTGATGTCATTTGTTTACTCCTGAACATCGGCAAAAATCAAACATTTCCGCTCCTTTGAGCTCATTTTCAAGCCATTTTCAGTACTAAAACTAATCAAAATCGTCTCTATTTCTGTAATATATCTTCCATTCTATCAAATGAGGCCAAGAAACTGCAAATACAATCATAAAAAACATATGAAAATACACCACAAAATCGCTATTTTAATCCAAAAACACGGTCACAATTTTTTTTCTCTCATTGTGCACTGCTTGCCGGAGGATTTGTTTTATATGGTGCACATTTACCACAGAGATCCATTCTTTCATATACAGTGGACCCCCGGTTTACGATCAGCTCCCAATGCGACCAATTATGTAAGTGTATTTATGTAAGTGCATTTGTATGTGTATGTTTGGGGGTCTGAAAAGAACTAATCTAATTCACAATATTCCTTATGGGAACAAATTCGGTCAGTACTGGCACCTGAACATACTTCTGGAATGAAATAATATCGTAAACCGGGGGTCCACTGTATAGGCCCAAATTTACCACTCAAAGCTTATTTGAGTGAACTGAGCTCATGGCATAAAGCTACAACTTGGACTCTGTGGACAAGGTGTACAACTACGGCTTGGACCCTGTGGACAAGGTGTAGAACTATGGCCTGGACCATCAAAGGGTTAATATTTCTTTTTTGTAACACATAGGCTGTTTTCCACCAAGGCAGGGTAACCCAAAAAAGAAGAAACCCAAAAAGAAGAAGTCACTATCACTGTCTTGCCAGAGGCTTGCCAATACTACAGTTCAAAAACTGGAGCATATTTCCACCCCTTCTTCAGAGGGAAAGCACTGTACGTACATTCTCTGTCTCCACAGACTCCTTGGTGCACCACTCACCTTTTTTCCCTTGTCAATTTTACGATTTCCCTCATCCTTCACAGACCCATCTGCTGACAAGTCCACTCCCAAATATCTGAACACATTCACTTCCTGCCTCCCACAATGCTCTGCACACATGAATTTTTAAACTGTGCATACCTAGAGCCCAGATCTCTTTTCTCAGATGTAGGCCTAACCAGGCAGCTTGGGACCATTTTGGAAGCCACATAATTTTGGCATATACAGTGGACCCCCGGATTAAGTCGTCATTGGAATAAGTAATATTCAGAAGTAATGTTTTTTCGTCAAAATATTGGCTCGGTGAACATCACTGAACTCAGTACAGTGGACCCCCGCATACCGTTGGCATCACATAACGATTAATCCGCATACCGCTTGCTTTAATCGCAAAAATTTTGCCTCGCATACCGCTCAAAAACCCGCTCACCGCTCTTCGTCCGAGACGCGTCCAATGTGTGCCTTAGCCAGCCTCACATGTTCCGCCGGTGGCATTGTTTACCAGCCAGCCTCCGCGGTAGCATCCAAGCATACAATCATAACATTTCGTATTATTACAGTGTTTTTGGTGATTTTATCTGGAAAATAAGTGACCATGGGCCCCAAGAAAGCTTCTAGTGCCAACCCTACAGCAATAAGGGTGAGAATTACTATAGAGATGAAGAAAAAGATCATTGATAAGTATGAAAGTGGAGTGCGTGTCTCCGAGCTGGCCAGGTTGTATAATAAACCCCAATCAACCATCGCTACTATTGGTGGTACAGCTGCTGCTGCTGCACTGTCAGCTGCTGCTGCTGCTGTAGCATTGTCTGCTGCTGCTGTAGCATCGTCTGCTGCTGCTGTAGCATCGTCTGCTGCTGCTGTAGCATCGTCTGCTGCTGCTGTAGCACTGTTAGCTGCTGCTGCTGCTGTAGCATCGTCTGCTGCTGCTGTAGCATCGTCTGCTGCTGCTGCTGCTGCTGTAGCATCGTCTGCTGCTGCTGCTGCTGTAGCATCGTCTGCTGCTGCTGCTGCTGTAGCATCGTCTGCTGCTGCTGCTGCTGTAGCATCGTCTGCTGCTGCTGTAGCATCGTCTGCTGCTGCTGTAGCATCGTCTGCTGCTGCTGTAGCATCGTCTGCTGCTGCTGTAGCATCATCTGCTGCTGCTGTAGCATCGTCTGCTGCTGCTGTAGCACTGTCAGCTGCTGCTGCTGCTGTAGCATCGTCTGCTGCTGCTGTAGCATCGTCTGCTGCTGCTGCTGCTGTAGCATCGTCTGCTGCTGCTGCTGCTGTAGCATCGTCTGCTGCTGCTGTAGCATCGTCTGCTGCTGCTGTAGCATCGTCTGCTGCTGCTGTAGCACTGTCAGCTGCTGCTGCTGCTGTAGCATCGTCTGCTGCTGCTGTAGCATCGTCTGCTGCTGCTGTAGCATCGTCTGCTGCTGCTGTAGCACTGTCAGCTGCTGCTGCTACTGCTGCTGTAGCACTGTCAGCTGCTGCTGCTGCTGCTGCTGTAGCACTGTCAGCTGCTGCTGCTGCTGCTGCTGCTGTTGCACTGTTGTTGGTGTGGCTTATTGAGAATACCAAGAAACAATTAACCCCAGAGGATTTGCCACCCAGGATAACCCAAAAAAGTCAGTGTCATCGAAGACTGTCTAACTTATTTCCATTGGGGTCCTTAACCCTTTGAGGGTTTTGGTCGTACTAGTACGTCTTACGCGTAGGGGTTTTTGACGTACTAGTACTCATAAATTCTAGCGGCCTCAAATCTAGTGGGAGAAAGCTGGTAGGCCTTCATATGAAAGAATGGGTCTATGTGGTCAGTGTGCACAGTCTAAAAAAAATCCTGCAGCACACAGTGCATAATGAGAAAAAAAAAACTTTGACCATTTTTTTGGAATAAATCAGCGACTTTGCAGTGTATTTTCGTATGGTATTTATTGTTGTATTCTAGTTTTCTTGGTCTCATTTTATAGAATGGAAGACATATTACAGAAATTGAGATGATTTTGACTGGTTTTACAAAGAAAGGTGCCTTGAAATTGAGCTCAAAGTAGCAGAAATGTTCGATTTTTACCAAACTTCAAAAGTAAACAAATCGTGCCAAGCTTTGCAATACACGTCAACTGGTGAGTCTAATATTCTTTCACAAGTGCACCAATAATATTTATACCATTTTTTACACTAATGCAGTAGTCTGCATAACAGTAAATCTTATATTTTTTGTGAAAATAAAAATTAAAAGTGGAAAGCAAAAGAATATAAGAGGGGCCTTGAGGACATGACTAATGGACTAGAGGAAATGTCATTTTAGTGCCGGGAATGTCTTTCTTGTTTATTTTGGACCCTATTCGGAAATTGGCATCTTTTGAAATTTGTGTGAAATTGGCAAAATTGCTAAACTCTGACCACTGTACTGGAGTAGAATTTCATAAATGAGTGTTTCTTGCACCCATTCGATAGAAAAAAATGGGAGTTCTATCGAAATATTCATGTTTTTTGTTGACTAGTACAGTGAAATTGGCCGAAAATGGGGCTCAAAGTGGGCAAAATCGCCGATGCGTAAACATCGCCGAGACCGCTAACTTTGCGAGAGCATAATTCCGTAAGTTTTCTATCAAATTTCAAACTTTTGGTGTCTTTATGATCGGGAAAAGATTCTCTATCTTTTTATAAGAGAAAATAATTTTTTTTTTTTTTAAATTTGGCCGACCCTGAGAACGAGTTTCGGAGAGGGCCTGTCGACCCTCAAAGGGTTAATCTTGTCTCCCAGGATGCAACCCACACCAGTCGACTAACACCCAGGTGAATACGGAAAAATGCCTGGAACTAGTGCTCATATTGGTGAATTTAAAGCCAGCAAAGGTTGGTTTGAGAGATTTAAGAATCGTAGTGACATACACAGTGTGATAAGGCATGTTCTGGAAGAAAATACCAAACAGGACCTACAGTACTCAGGAGGAAAAGGCACTCCCAGGACACAGTGTCTCATCAGTCATTGCTGCATCTTCAATAAAGGTAAGTGTCATTTATTCTTCATTTAGTAGACTAGTACATGCACAATATATACTGTGCATGTACTACTCTACTATTGTGCATGTATCCTTCTCTTTGTGTGTAGGAAAATGTATATTTCACGTGGTAAAAAATTTTTTTTCATACTTTTGGGTGTCTTGCACAGATTAATTTGATTTCCATTATTTCTTATGGGGAAAATTCATTCGCATACCGATTATTTCGCATACCAATGAGCCCTCTTGCACGGATTAAAATCGGTATGCGGGGGTCCACTGTATAAGGCATTCGTCTGGAATGCGTCCGCATGGCCTGAGCGGCCCCAACACT